ATTTACGTATAAGTATAATATACGCGGCAACTTATTTCTTACAATAAAACATAATAAACACTGAAAATCGTTCGTTAATTAATTATTATGTAACAATAATGTTCTAGAATGTTTTATTAATAAGGTCTTCTCGAGAAAGCATATATGCTTCGCATTAAAGGACACGTGAAATTGCTACTGTATATAAACGCATTTTTCGAGAAATCACGCCTCCCGTCGGCGACTGTCTCCCGTCGGCGGAGGATTTGGATGTTCCTCCTTTTCGTTATCATCCATGCAACAATATTTTAAATTATAATTTTATCGTTTAATTCTTTTCAAGGTAGTATGAGACTAGCATTAAAGAATACAAGGATTGCAGATATATATTGGCAATAATTCAGCGTGTTGCTTTTCGGAGCTTCGTCGAGCCCCTATATCAGATCACATTGCGCCTATTCTTTCCCGTCGGCACTTGGACGTGGTGCGTAATTCCTTTGTTGAAAACGTGGACGTGGAGCGCTAGTGTACGGGGGAGATCGCCGGTCCCACGCAAAAGGTCGGACGTGGCCGCACTCAACGCTTCTCTCCGGTCCAGGCAACTCTGTGCACGGCCATTGGACAGATCGGCGATTCTTCATGTGTATCCGCCACCATGTGCCATATGATCCACGGACTCCACGGGTGGAGGGACGTCAGACGAGTCCGACGAGTGGCGTACGCGCGTAACGGCTGCGTGCTTCGTCAGCGAGAGTCTGTTGCGTCGAGCGGACCCGATCAGCCGTCACCACCGTAGACTGTAGAGGAGCTTTCTCGGCGAACGAGAGCATGCAGGTAGCGGTGGACTGGTGAACGTGCTGCAGCACCTGGTTCTCGCGCTTCAGCGAGATGTAGAGACCGGCGGTGGGGCAGTCGTGGAGGAGTCTGAACTGTCGAACGTGCCTTTCGATATATACGAGCGAACCTGTTTTCATTTTTCACGTTCAGCGATCGCGTCGCGACGTTTACAGAAACCGTAGACGAAATTGACGCGCGGTTCGCTTAGCCTCTAATCGAGCCGGGTACCGAGGCTGGAGGTCAGCCTGCTCGACGTGCATCCGCCGGTTTACGGTCGTAAACTGCCTCTCTTTCTTCGTCCCTCGGTACTCCGCGTGCCTGGGAGAAGGTGGTACTTCATTCCTTTCGGCGAAGGTGCGATAAACTGAAGCGGCAGGATGATGATGGGCGATCAGTTTCGTAGCAAAGTGGAGCAATACTCACCGAAGTCCTCGCCGAGGGGAGCACGGTCTCCAGTCGTGTCACGTCAAGATTCTACGGGAACGCTAAAGACGACCATCTCCCTTGGAAAGAATCCTTCTATTGTCCACAGTGGACCGTTTTATCTGATGAAGGAACCCCCAGGTAACGAATCATAAAATCATGAAAATAAAAAAAGAGGAGAAATTTTATATAATACATATATATATAGTGAAAATAAAAAAGGAGAATTTATTTTATATAATATATATATAGTTGTGATCAAGAGAGTCTCTTTCCAATTGATATATTATGTAATATTGAAAATATTTAAAAAAATTCTCTCTCAAAATTGTATGTTGTATTCTTTAGGGGAAAGCGAACTTACTGGAGCAACAAATTTGATGGCCTATTATGGCCTTGAGCACTCCTACAGCAAGTTTAGCGGTAAGAAGCTCAAGGAGCAGCTATCATCTTTTTTGCCAAATTTGCCTGGCATTATAGACAGGCCTGGCCATCAGGATAATAGGTAAGTCTCACAAGAGTGTTTAAACGTCGAAAGCGCTTGCTTCATGTTTCATTCGTTTTTTTTTCTTCTTTTTAAGCTCCCTGAGATCAGTGATTGAGAAGCCTCCCATAGGTGGTAAAGAGCTATTGCCTTTGACGAGTGTACAGCTTGCTGGTTTTCGATTGCACCCTGGCCCAGTAAGTATTTTTATGCATTAAAGTGTAATTAATTATTATTAATATATATACATATTTTTCTAAGATAAAAGATGCGCGTGTAAAAATGCAAAAGGCTAAGCTATGTAATGTAATTTTGTAGCTGCCAGAACAGTATAGATACATAAATCAGGCCCCTCAGAGAAAACACAAAAATAAGCATAAGAAGCACAAGCACAAGCCCGGAGAGGTGCTGAGCGGACAGGAGACCGCGACGACGGACGTGGGTGGTTCCGATACGCACGAGAAGAAGCATAAGAAGCAGAAGAGACACGACGAGGAGAAGGAGGCGAGAAAGAAGCGGAAGAAGGAGAAGAAGAGGAAAAAGCAGAAGCACAGCCCCGAGCACACCGGCAGCCTCACACCGTCACAGCATTCCAATTCGTGATCTCTAATCTGTCCCTTTCAGTTCATGCCAAATTTATGATCAAAATCCGAAGAAAGAAAAAAAACGGTACGACGTAGGTCCATATACTAAAATATACACACGTGTATATTTATTTGCGGTAGGGCTGTAAATATACGGATATTATAATAATATCCGAATCTCGATCGTCGTATTGCGCAAAATAGAAAGTTTTGAATTCGAAAATCGCAAATTTTAAACAGGCACGACTCTCGGAATGTTGAGACCCGACTCGTCCAAAAATCCGAATTCGAGCAATCGAATAATTTAGTGAATTAATCTGAATATGATTACTCTAGTAATTATTTGAATATTATTAATATAATACTCGGATTAATATTCGAATATCCCGTTCATATTTACAGTTCTGACTTATGGATAATATATGTGCTTATTTTTTCGATGTTACACGGTACGACGAGAAGGAGAACTCTATGTGCAAATCGTGTACATATATACATATTATATGTCGCGTTATAAAGTAATGCAATCCCTTTTTCGTTCGGAGTCTTGCATAGATTCGCTGCGTAGAGCCGATTTAGACTTGTAACAAGCTTCACGCCTTATGAAATTGTTTTTGCTCAAATCTTCATTATTTCACACGCCAGACGAATGTTACTGCAGTTACATGCATCACATTAGATAGAAAAGCGGAGTTAAGTTTCGCCGAAAATTTCGGCCCTAAAATGGAGCGATTAAGATCCGATTTCATGATGAGATTAACTTTAATCTCGATTTAACTTACTATCTATCTCTTCCTAACTTCTTAGACTAGGAAAAGGTAAAGCGAGTTGAAACTTCGGTTAAATCGAGTTAATCGCGACATGTGAAACCGGGCCTGATAGTTTCATATTTTATTTTTTATTAAATGTCTTGCGACGCACAGACAGAATCCAAACGTTGCAATTGATATTTAGTTCGTATAACTTCATTTTTTTTTAACCTAATCTAAACAGCATCGTTTATACGTATTACGTTTTTAAGCACCTTTTCGCAATTCTCGCGTACTCGAAAGTTGCCTGTATCGGTGAAGGGGGAGTGTAAAATATGTATGTAACATAACGATCATCGTGCGCAGGATACGCGCTGTTCCAGATCTGTTCGGTCGCCCATCCGGCGGCGTAGCGTTTGTAATTGTAAATCGCGATCGTGTCGAAACTTTTATAGGGTGTAAATATACGTAACGGATTGACGACTGTGTAAAGAGAGGATCGCACTGCTATTCTGTGTAAAGTGTTCGTTCACAAAAGTTCATAAGCGTACAATCCATCGTGCTTTAAAGCCCGACGCGACGGGTTTTAGCGGAGAAAAAAAAATAGAGATATATATCGGAGAGAGAGAGAGAAGTTTCGAATTTTAGATGTAATATTTATAGCGCGAAAGGGATGGAGAATTAAAGTGATCTCGATCTCGCAGCAGTTGACGCAGCCTCGTGTTTCTCAATCCCAATCATCTACGTTCATTCTCCCTGCAACGACGTGAACCCCGGACGAGCGTTAACAGAGGCTCGAATATGCATTATCCTACTCCTTGCTCCGTTTTATCTCTGAAATTTTTTACGGCGTGTACCCTCAAATGTGCCTGGAAGGCTCTGGAGATGGCGAGAATAGAAATATACGCGGGTTTCGATCCAGAAATCATCAAGATTGTCGATATTTATATTTAATTTTTATTAATATTTATGTATTTATATATTTTTGATGCGAGAGGGCGATTAGCCTGAAATTGCGCGTGGATATTCAAATTCGGGAGATAACTAATTCTGGAATGTTGAAATAAATTCTTTTTTTTTCCTATCTGCATCTCGTATTGCACTACTGCACTTGAAGTGAAGTAGGCATATTAATTAAACGTTGGCGAGAAAAGGAGAGAGAGAGAGAGAGATGAAAAAGTTCACAGCTGCGAAGTGCGCGAGCCATGTGGAGCCATGTTTCAGGCGCGAATTTTAGGTTACGCAATAATATTTTTCTCTCGCAGAAAAACGCGTGAAATCGACTCGGATACGACATTCTAACACGGATCAATCGGGTAAACGAGTCGTGGGCGCCGCGATACTCGCGATCGCGAGAATTGTTCAGTACTTCGGGAGATATTCGGACTCCGCTCCAACTGCATTGCGCGCCGTGCAATTCGGAGCCGGTCGGTGTGAGGCTCGGATGTCGCATCGTCACGTCGCCGGAGTCGGAGTTCGCGTCGCGTGGCACGACCTTGGCTTCCGTCTGACCCGTCGACGGGATCACAGCGGGCAAAAGGATGCAGCGTGGCGTGATGCTCCGCGCGACGAGTCTCCAGCTGTTGCAGAGACGCTTCTTCAAGAAGTACCACGTGAGGGTTAGATTCGCGCCCAGTCCCACCGGTAAGGATCGTCACGTTAATTAATTCTGTCCCTTGGAATTTAATCTTATTGCCGAGAGAACGTAAGTCGACGTTAGTATTGGGGCCGACCTTTACTCCACCGGTGTTGTTCCAGGCCACTTGCACCTGGGTGGGTTGCGCACCGCGCTGTACAATTATTTATTCGCGCGTAGCAACAACGGCACGTTTATCCTGAGGATCGAGGACACCGATCGGACAAGGACGGTTCCTGGGGCGGTGGAAAAACTCCAGGATGACCTGCTATGGGCGGGGATTATACCCGACGAAGATCCTACCAGAAGTGGCCCGGTTGGTCCTTACATGCAGTCGTCAAGGCTTGAATTATATAAGTATGTATCTTGGTGTTGGCGCAGATTTCTTGTAAATTTGTCGGATAGGAATTTTGCAAAGTATTCCCCATAGATTTTGTCGGTAGACTGTCAGCAGAAATTTAATCGATCTGCAGAAGAATTATGACAGCGCGTTCATCATAATTCTTCCGCAGATCTGATCGACTGTGGAAATTCGGCAAAATCTGCTATTTCGTAACTTCTAGGGAGCAAGTGCTTAAACTCTTGGACAATGGATCCGCTTACTATTGCTTCTGCACGGAGAAAAGGCTGGAACTGCTGAGGAAAGAGGCGATGAAATGCGGCCAGGTGCCTAAGTACGATAACAGGTGTCGGCATTTTTCTCCGGACAAAGTAAAGGAGATGCTCGGGAAAAACGAGACCTATTGCATTAGATTTAAGGTACGTCTCTACTACAATTGTAATTTGATGGATCGTCAGAGAGACTAATGTAGATTTATATAATTCGATCGAATTTTTGTCGATTGTCTCAGTTACCGTCCACACCAGAAGCCTTTCACGACGTAGTTTACGGAGACGTGCTGCACGATATTACGAAGTCTGAGGGAGATCCAGTTATCATAAAGTCAGACGGCTATCCTACTTACCATTTTGCAAATGTGGTCGACGATCACTTCATGGAGATATCTCACGTCTTGCGAGGTGTTGAATGGCAAGTTTCCACGCCTAAACATATTATGCTTTATAAGTGAGTACCTTTATTTGAGATAATAAAATCCATATAATTGACTGTATTACATATTTTATTCCATTACAGAGCCTTTGGCTGGGATCCTCCTGTATATGGACACTTACCTTTAATATTGAATGCGGACGGATCTAAATTGTCAAAGAGGCAAGGTGACATAAAGATCGAGTCGTTCAGGAAACAGGGTATTTTTCCATTGGCGTTATTGAATTACGTGATAGGAGCTGGCGGTGGTTTTCACAAAGAGCAGGAGAGCCAAAATCTTTACAGCTATCAGGAATTAATTAAACAGGTAATTGCCAATGGTAAAAAAATTTTCTGTCCTGTAATCCATTTATGTATGTTCTACTTTTCATTTGCAGTTTGATATTGATAAGATAAAATCAAGTTCTGGCAAACTTATGCCCGAGAAACTGCTGGAATTTAACAAATTGGAAATAGCAAACTTACTACAAAATGAAAACAATCATAAATTTCTTATCGAGAGAATTAAAAAATTAGTGTTGGACGCATTTCCTAAATGGTACGTTTAATTTCACATGTATAGCATTGTTAATAATCATTCTGACTTTTTCAAAAAATTTTGCTTATACTATTTTTGTACATTGCAGGAAAGACGATGGAAACTTGCAGTTGGATGATGATCATATAATAACTACGTTAAAGTGGGCGCAGAACAGAATATCGACACTCAACGATCTCGTCAAAGAAGATTTAGCATTCCTATGGATTGTCCCATCTTCCATGCCAAACGTTAAACAAGATGGATGTTCAGGTAATATTTTTCTGCACAAAAGGTATCGAATATTCTATTTGTCAAAACTATATTATTAACGTTATCACATGATTTCAGACGCGATTAAACTATTGAACGCGGAATTAGTTGAAATAGATGCCAGTAATTACAAGACCGATTGGATGGCACCATATCTAAAGGATTTTGCCAAGAAGAACGGAGTTCCATTCGCTGCTTTGATGGCAACTTTGAGAAGCGTTATGAGCGGCGTAAAAGTAAATATAGCATATAAATTTATATTTATTGTGGGGGAAAAAATATCAATATGTATAAAATATGTGTAAAATATCAATATGTATAATATATATAATAATAATGCTTTATAGGTCGGACCACCTGTTGCTGAAATGATGGAAATTTTGGGAAAAGACCAGACGTTATTGCGATTACAACGTTGCGTTGCCTGAGAATTTACACATATTGCTTAATTGCAAATTGATAGTATCGACAGAGGTAAGACACATTTAAAGAAACAAATCCAATTCCCAGATTTTTTTGCAGAAAGGATGTAATTGTACAGATCTACAATTCATCAATGCTATTAAAATGTTTTCCAAAAATAATTGCATTCCACTGTTGAAGAAAATATAAAGATAATTGTGTAATTTATAATTTTAGTATAATCTGGTCAAATATTTTTTATTTGATTCAAGAGAATTAATACAAATATTCTGCCTATATTTTAATAACATCCTTGAAGAATAAATATATTAAAATCTTATATACACATATACACATTGTGTATTTTCATGGGCAGTGGCATTGATTTTTTTTTGCATACCTTAAAAACCTGCAAAATTATATGAATTATTATTTATATGAATTTGTTTGTACATTGGATTAATGTTAATATGTATCAATATATTAATATAATATATTTTAACATAATCTTACATTATATATTCATATATTAATACTATATTTATTATACAATATTATATATTAATATATTTACACCTTGTGGAGGAGAAATATTTATCAAAAAACGTAAAAATAATCTTGAGAACATTGAGTAAAATATTAATGACTTTTTATTGTATAATATTACCATTTTTCACATTTTATAACTTAAATAATTAGCCTATTAAGAAAGTAATGTAGAAATTTTAAAATACTTTGAGATTTAACTTTATTATAGAATAGGGATTTGTTTTATACAGAGTGAATAATTCATAATATTTTCACTTTATATGTATAATATGCAATATATGTAATTTTATACTTAAGTACAAAAAGGTAACATGTAGAAATTATGCATAATTATTTTGACGAAAACAGATATATAAAGTGCTTATATATAACAAATTGAACACGTTTCTTAAACAGTTTTTTCGATACAGTGCGAGACTTTTCTTATATAGCACAGGATTTATAATACATATACAAATGTGTGGATAGCACATTTGATATCAGCATTGCAATTTCTAGAATGAAACCTAAGAATGTCATAGAAAAAAATGTTTTATAACAAATTGGATTCTTTGACGTAACAAGAATGAAAATGAAGAAATTGTAGAGAATGGTAACAAATAGATATCCCTTCTGATTACAATAAAACAGTATATTAAATCGATATTTATTTATGTTACTATATTACTTTATATTAATATAATTATAAATCCTGTTATTGAATCAATGTTAAGATATTGCTTGATAAATTGCCAATTAATACGCCTGGAATCATAATGATTTTGAATTGTTTGAACAAAATATTGTTATAATATTATTCTTTCTCAAAAGCTTCTTCATTGTGAAAAATCATTATGAAACCAATTTTCACACAAATATAAGTCTATGCCTGTATTAAATTAACAAATTTTTTTTTTCTTACTTTCGAAGATTCTATCTATACAAAAAAAATAATACAATGAATTATACGAAAATTATACAAGAACCTCTATATTAATCTTTGAATATTCAATTAAAAAGACAATAAAACTAAATAATTATTTAACGAAATATAAATAAGCTATCCTTAGCGTGCAATTCTGGAATAATATTGTAAATGTAGGTATAATCAAAATTGAAACTCTGTAAACCGAAGGTCTTGACACAGACCTAATTAGATCTTTATGTACACATTTAAGCTTATGTACAAATCTTTATTTTAAAGACCAGATATATATATTTTCATCTTGACATAAGAAAACCCTATTAATTAATAAAAATGAATCCTGTATATTGTTAAAATATTCGAATAAACAATATTTTAGAGACAACTCTTCTCTTGCATTACAGATTAGTTTTTATCACAGTTTTAGATTTATGTCGTAATGTACTTATGGTCCTACTCTGCAAATCAGAGGCTTTCTATAACTCTTCTGGATGTATTTATCTACGTATTACTTTCAATCTAAAGCTATAAAATGCATTGATCAAATGTATCTATCTCATTATGTATGATTTTAGGAAGCTTTATTAAAAATAATGTTAGTCAAAGAAGCTGCAAAACAGGAAGGTGTTAACCTAATTTATTTTTTCAACAGAAATCATAACAAATCAGTTCAGAATGTTTTAATCTCTCACGAATAGTTTTGATCACCAAACATGTATTGTTTCAAACGTTGTAGAAATTTTCAGATCGCTATATATGAACGCAAATTTCGAAGCAATTTTAAATTAGTTTTATATGCGGAATATATAATAACACTGCTTTTATACACATATAAAGATTATTTAAGTCAGTGATAGCCCTAAAAACGTCAAAAAACTAACATTCTATTGAAGTAATAAGAGAAAAAAGCTAGAGATCTTCGCGTACTTCCAGAATCATATAATAATAACGCATTTAGATTAGGTCAAACAGTTGCACAAAATTTATCACAGATAAAAGGGTAAAATGCTCTGACGAATGCATACAAAAAAAACCTAGGATACATCGTAAGTGAAAGAAATGTTTAGAAGACATGTATAGGTGCAAGTAGGTTCCTAGAAGAAAACTACGAGTAACCATTCTTTTTTCTTCAAACTCTTTCGAAGCTTATTCTTATGGATCGATTACATATATTATTAATAATATAGTAAAACGGTACCTATATCCTTAGGAACAGTAATTGAATACGATTAAATACGCTTGTTTTTTTTTTTGTATATTAACATACCTTTTCAACAGTTTTAGCGTAAATTGTGAGGTATGTTCGTCAATCGTTTTATTTTAATACGTATACAAAACAACGTGTACACATTTTGGAAAGGAATATATTATAATAATACGACCCTTATTATATACACACGTGTGAATTACACACACGATAATACGAGATTGTCAATTCTGTATATTAGTAATCTTACTGCAGGAATATCTGAGAAATACACACAAGATAACATTGACAGAATTATATCTATATATATGTAAAAAGAGCAGAAGACGTAAGTTATATAAAAATTGACAGGTACTAAATAAACATACAGATTACAGTCCAAAGTATTAGTTGTAAGAAGACATAATATAATTAGTTTGAAGAAGACATAAACGTTATCTAATTTGTTTTTTTTTCTGGAAAAAATTGATTTCATTTTTACGTATTCAATAAATTTATCTAGGAGATCGAAGCAACATTAAATTACATTTGAAAGAAATTAATTATATTTAAACGTTATTAACTCTGAGTGATTTTTAATTTTTCCTCGAAGATTTTACATATCGTGTATAAATTAAAAGTTATCGAATATAATATTATTCTACATAATACTGCATTACATTATTGCAACAATGTAATCTATTAAGGTGCGGCGTTTTGTTACGTGATTGTAGTGACGTAATTTTCATAAAGTTACATAAGAAAATAAAAACGCGTAGATATTGCGTTCGCGAATTACGGTTTCGTGTTTCTAAATTAAAAATAAAAACAAGAGTAATAATGCAATATTAACAATCATGTATACGTAACGTGTAGACTTTTACATTCGTATTCCTTGTCTGTATGTAAGATTAGTGACTCTAGAATAGGCACTTTTGTCCTGTCAGATATACATTGGAATGTAAAGAAATTTTCTTCAGTGTTGCAAACAAGTTGATTAAGTTCGTTAGTGTTTTTTTTTTATACATATAACAAGACATTGTATAAAAGACAAAAATAAGTGAGTCGTCGTGACATGCATTAACGTTAGAACCTGTGTGGCAAGCTATACATTGCCGATAGAGAGCCTATGTCTCCTGTTACGATAAGAATAATATTTCCTCTGTGTAATTATTAATAGTCACAGTTTGATTATACTTCGTTTTTAAGTTTTTCGTCAGCTAATCGTTTCTACGCTAATTAATTATTTGTTCGTACAAGACTAAATATGTCACTACGGTATGCTCATCTATTTGTAACTGTGAGAATTACGTACTACCGTGTGTAAAATACAAGTATCGAGATTCTTTATAATTTGTCACATAATAACGAAACGAGGGCAGGGCGAACGAACAGCTGTCAGAAAATGGGAAAACTGCACTGCAACTTTATCAATATAATTATATCATATCGATAATATTTGATTGTTACGCTGATGGAAAAATTAGCAGCGGGCGGCTGTGTAAATAATTATACCGTTATATCGCGCGATTATATTGGAGAACGTTTGTTAGAGTATAAAAATAGAGAAATTTGTGTAACTCATTACAGGTAAGATAATGAAGACTAGTTTTCAAAGAAACAGGGAGGGGGGGGGGGAGAAGACGGGCAAGCTCACAAACAAGGTGCCCAACCTGCGGACCCGTAGGAAGAAGAAAGTATTCTTATCGATATAACTACAATAACTTTTTGTGAACTTTTGTAAAACTACTATAGCATACATTTTGCATTTCTAGCTCTTTTCTTAATTAATCGTTTTTTATTGCCATAAGGAGATATATGTAGAATCACTTTCATATTATACATCTTGGCCCAAGCATTGCTTTTCGAACGTATCGTTAACGTTGTCAACCGAGAGAGAAAGCTGAAAGTCTGTGTATATTAATCATAGGATTACACATCCGTCATGTATTACGTAGCTTGACGAAGTATAATAGAAGACAGTGGACAGAATATATAAATTGACTGAACGAGTTAAGGAATACAGATACACGAATATAAATTGATTTTCGCGAAAGACGTTAAGAAACGTTCAATTCGAAAATACGGTACTCGCAGGTTTAAGATACTTGTGCCGCGTGTTAAGACTCGTCGATTTCAAACGGTAGGAATACACGCAATAGTTAGCTAAATACCCGAGACGTTGTAAGTTATTCTAATAATAGTTCAAGTGATATAAAAAAGTTTGCTATCTTACAAGGAATATCTACTCCGTGTGTGTGCAGTTATACGAGGTCACCCTTTTCGTCGTGGATTCTATAATGCCTCGGTAAGAGAAGTGAAGTTAAAATTCATCCCCTTGGGGGACGATGCATCTCGTATTTTTTACTATATATATACATATACATACATATATATATATATATATATATATATATACACACTGTCTAGATATATAAATAGAATTACGCTGTAAATTTGTCACAGCATAACAAATTCAGCTCTGTTTCTCTGTTTCTTGCGCGAGTTCTAGTATAGAATAGATATATATTTGGCACAGGCAAAATGGTTTCCTTCTGTTACGGTAACGTAGTAGACGGATACTTTCCACAGTGATATTTACCGCGGTGAACATTATCCTTTCGTTTAACACCACTCGATGTCACTCGGGTCAGGAATTGTATTGTAATTAACGTTTCAGGATAAGAATATAATTATCTATCTTCTATGGATTTATCTTATGTGTGTATGTGTGTCATGAAAGGTCTCTTTGTTAAATACCCGATTTTAACAATATAAGCTATCCTCTGTCTAGTCGACTTGTAATTGCGCATTTGGAATGATATTCCAGACGATGGTCTCCATTTCATTACCATCGATTACCATTTCGCTACCTATCGTGACCGTACTCCTCGCTTCGGGAATACGGGGAGTTTAACGTTTCTAAGTGAACGCGACTCGCGTGACTCAGTTGTTTAGATCATTGATGGCTTGTAAGATGCGCTTAACGTGCCCCACCTTGGTGATGCCCAGCTCCTTTAGATCTCGGCGGGCTAGGGTCAATAGCTCCCTACCGCGTATATCGTGAGAAACGAATTTCTCAGCGTATTCTCCCAGCTGTAGATTCTCTAGCCAGGTGCACACCTCCTGCACGCCCCACGTGGTGACCTGATCTCGCGCCGGATGACCCGCGCCGCCCGAGTTGCCAGCGAAGCGACGGAACTTTAACCAGAACAACCCTCGATGACGATTTTTTTTATCTCCCTGCAGATCCAGAGTTCGAGATGTCGGTTAGTAACACGGTTAGTCAGATTAGTAGGTAAAGCGGTATGCGCTATTTTTTTTTATACGGCATACGTTTTAGTAAACATGCTATATTCATATGCAGGTGGAGATTTGCACTCGGGATTGATACGTGATATAAATACGGATTCGTTCAGGCATAGTAAAAAGTAGCTCTCGAAATTGGCCTATGGTCGACATTTGCGATAGTGTGTGGCTCAAAGATTTCGCGCAAGTACACTACCGCAGACACACCTTTCGGTTAATACATTAATGAGAGAGACAATGTACATATATAAGATATTCCATTATATATTTATTGCTGTACTTTAGCAAGATTCATATACATTCGCTAAAAGATAATACATCTCTCCATGAGGCTCATATAAAATCACGAAAGTTCCCCTCTCGTTGTCACAGCGCTAATCAAACAAGTGCAACAAACTCTCACGAAATCATAGAAGAAGTATAGCGGAGGCGCGATAACAGAAAGCAAAAGTTGAGTTGCATATATAAATTCAAGTGCACATACTCGGATGTGTTGCGTATGCTAATGTTAACTGAAGAACAGGTACAGCGTATCGCCAAGTATCGCATAATATTATTACGTTACGTCTCATTGTGTGAGCTATAATATAATAGAGCCGCAAGCGAGAAATAAACAAACGATAGGCAAATTCTAAACGACAAGATCCCATCTCTCAGCAGATGTAATACATGCACACGCACGCACATACATACATACACACACGTGTACAAAAAGAAAAAAAAGTAATCAGCGTCATGTTTTTCGCTACACTGCAAAAACTAAGTCTCTCTAAATGCTAATCTCTATTTCTCTAATGTCATAAGCATTAATACTTAAAAGCATATTACCAGCACTGGGATTGAGCACTCAATCAATCCGAAACAAAGCATAGGATAATGTGTTATTATTTGAAAAAACAATATTTACGCATAATGAAATTGTAAAAATTTCTCTCAAAAAGATATTGTAAATTTTCGTGTATAACGTATGTAAAGAGAGGTGCTTTCATAATATTACATATCTCTTCGCGTTCATATCCAACCTAGCTAGCTAATTCTCTCAAAAACTCATTTACAAGAATAACGCTCTAAGTAATCCCCTTTTGGAATATATACTGGCAAGATGGAATATCGAATACGAATAGAATAAGATAATGGAAGACTTTATCGTTATTGTTATCGTCACAGTGTGCTTCGCTCGATTTTTTTAATAATCTTGCAGAAGAAATTATTAAATACTATAAATAGAATAAACAGAAAAATTAATTTTACCTCCCAAAGTTCATACAAATCTAATTCTTTAAATTATGTTTGCGAACAAATAGTTGAATATATGTATGAAACAAACTCTTTCTTTAAATATTTTTTTTTTAAATATTTGAAATATTAAACTCTGTAAATATCTCTGCTATATTCAATTAAATGTATAGTAAATATCACAAAACGTATATGTAAACTTTATCACAATGCAAAATACATGACAGAAATGTGAAAATAGTTAATTTCATAACTCGTATTTTTAAATAATTGACTTTAAACAGCATTGCATTAAGCATAAGGAAGAACTATACCTGATCATCCGTGGTAATATTTTGCAAGTAAACCAGCCCGGTGCCTCCTTCGTCAAAGGTACACTTTCGCAATTCCTGTTCCATACTAGCCAGAGCTAGGGACAACTTGTTCTCTAAATCCTCCCGTAATTTCTGCATTAAGAGGAGTGACTGTTAGTTTAATCAATCCGTTAATATGTTACAATAATACATTTGCTACAGGCTTACCAAGTTGTGGGCTTTATCGCGCAGTAACTCACAAGACTCTTCGTACAATTGTCGCGCGCTTGATACTAACTCGGTTACCACGGGTCTCAGACTTATCTATCGACAAGTGGAAATAGTAGGAAAGTAAGCGGATTGTCGTGACATAGATTTTCAGCATTTTCCGATTGAAACTTACCCCTTGCAAGATTTTGCCGTCCGGGTGTACTTGTTCAAGCGCGTTTGCAGTTCGCGAGGCCACTTGGTACAGATCCGGTTCCAGGGTTGGATGTGATATAATTAGCAGTTTCACCCACTTGACCAAAGTCGTCACGGATTCAATGAAACTGAATAGAATGTTGAGCTCCTCGTCGTTCAACTGCGGCGGCTTATTACATATTTGCAACTGTGATCTAGACTGCGACGCATTGCTCATGATGGAGGAAGACTGGGTTACGGTGCTCAACGTACTGCGCTGCTTCTCCTCCCACGCTCTCAACGAGGTCTCAAGCGCCTGCGACATCAAATATTTTCAATTGCATACACGAATCAAAGTTACTTCTTTTCATTAAAAAAAAAAGCCACCGATAGATATTTACCCTATTTCTGTAAAGCATTTGCATGCGATTCTTGTGTATAATCCTTATAATGCCAGGTGGTTGAATCCAAGCCTCGCCGTCGACCTGTATCGGCACACCCTCTTCGCCCAAGATATTAATCTGAACTGTCTGGCATTGAGCTATTCTGTGATGTTGCAAATTGATGAGCCGCGAGGCAGCCATTTGAACGGATCCGAAAACCGCCACCACTTCCAATATGCGATCGTCGAACGACGGCGCTAAGAATAGATCCCCTTCCTTCGTGCCTCCCCAAAAGTTCGTACCGCCCATGAAACTGTCATTAGGGAGCGAAACTTTGCTTTTGAAACTTCAAATCATTAAAAATGTATATATATATATATATTTATTTATTGTCACAAGTACCTCGGTATATTTAACACGACGATCCCTTGCAGAGAGGGCAACGGTATTCTTTGACCGTCGCACTCCAGCTGAACTCTCTGCTCGAGATTCTTGTAGGTCTTCTGTATCCACTGTTTCGATCCCAGGACACCGTACCACATGTAGTTCTTAGCGCGCGATCGACATTTCTCAGGGTGCTCTTCCCTCTTGTTGTGAAAATCGAGACTGATCTTCGCGTCTATGCCGATACCGAAGTAATTATTCATGACGCATCGTTCGAAGTAGCCTTCCCTGTAGAATGCAGAAAAAAAGATTCGTGAAATCTGTATGTTTTATGTATTAATTATATAATAATGTGTGTGAATTACATCAATGTTTCATCGGGATCCATTAATGGCGATACCGCTGCGCACAGAGCATCTGCATTTGCCAGCAATGCTTGACTGATGAGACCAGCTCCGCCACTTACATCTATGCATTCACAAGAGATAATACATAAATAATTATTTGTACAATATGGAAAAGCTTTTGTATTTCGATATAACATTTTTTACTCACTTGGCCACATGGGCAATCGAACCAAGGGATTTATTATAGGAAGTTTCTTAACGTCCTCCGTTTTGTCCACAGATTTCGCTCTTTCGTGGCGCAAGCTCACGCTCGAGCCACCCAGACGAGCGGTAGTTGCGGCCAACGACACAACTTCCGACGCCTTCAACAAACTGCCGCTGCTTATACGACGTGTTGCCTGCGGAGAGAAGCCTGAGTCGGGCAGCTCCACGCTCACTGCGATTATCGAAAACATCATCAAGATACATATTTAACTGCCACGTGAAGATGCTTCGGCTGACCGAACGACTTACGTCTTTCCATACTGTTGCCGCTACTGTACTGCTTGTCGTGCGGATCCAGCTTGTAATCCAAGTTAAGCTTGTGATGACTCTCGATCGACAACGACGGACTCGGTGGATCGACGATAACGCTGATCTGCGGCGGAAAATTCGTAGAGCACTTTTCGTTGGTTTGCGTATTGTCCGACGAGACGGTGAAGCAGCACACCGGCCTCAGCAAGTCGGACGCCTTCTCCTTCTCAACGGTTTCTAACCGACTCGCAAGTACTACATTCGTTTCCACAGATTGCGGCGATTTATTCGAGACGCGCACGCACGTTGCCAAACCGTCCGTTTTATATCTACCTAGCATCGCCTGCTAACAGAAAACACAGTTAATTTTGTGCAATCGATTTCGAGAAAGCGCTAAACCGAAATATCTATTTTACCTCTTTATCCGTCTTTATGCTCTTTGCTCCCTTCTTGAACGAATGCCTCCCGATGTCGTTGCCCTCGCTGAACTGGGCTAAGCCGCAATACCTATGCGATTCCTCGATCTCCAAGCCTTCCCTGACAGAATCGTACTTCTCGCCCATTATCGCGCTGATCACGTCCTGCCCGAGGGAGCTCAAGTCCTCCAAGCCGCTCTCCGAGTGTTGAGTCTCGCTGGAGAGCATGTCGGAATTATCCGGCGAGTCGATGTGCCCGATCTCCGAGCTCTCCGATCTTTTCGTGGAGTCGAATATATCACTGTCTATATGACCTGGAAAGTGTGAGAGAAATTATCTAATAATTAGATGTGACGTACGTACAGAGCGACGACTCTACAATGCCGGTCGCATTGGCAGGTACTCACGCACCGATTTCACTCTCGCTGTTTCGCACGGTGTAGCTCTTGGAGTCGAAAGTCTCGGAGACCATGCTGTCCGTGCTGACGATACTGTTGGTGCAACTACCTCTGGTCTCCAACTTAACTGTCGCGGGTCTTTGCGCGTGCTCCGGCGAAATGTTTCGCGAGTGTGGCGAATCCGTGTCGGGCGAAACGATAGTGTCCTGCATGGTCCCGTCGTCCGACGGCGTACTCGTGTCCAGAATGGTCCTCGTCACGGTCGGAACGTCAGAGGAGACTTCTATTTGCGTCGGTTCGGACGACAGCAGATTATCGTTAACTGTCTGAGCGTCTTGCTGACCGCCGCCGGCCACGTCGAAACCGAGCATTCTGAAATTCACATCGAGATATCGTGATACTTTTAAGGGGTAACACCACTGTAACGGCCCAAAAAATTGCACTTTTTCGACATTTTTTTTTTAATGGAAGGAAATGAAATAAAGTATTAATACTCCGTGAAGTTAATAAGCATATATTGAAGTACTTGTA